TAATTAAGTAGTAAACAGTCATCACAGTCAAATGAAATTCTAATTTTTTTCTTTTATATTCGGTGGTAAGCTTAATATAAGGATATAATTTTTATCAGAATGAGACTGCCTGCGACTAATGAAATATATACATAAACAGTTGTTCATCAATACATGCTCAGTAATTTAGTTTGTAAATCAGATCGTTTTGTTTCTTCTAGGTGTTATAGCACTAAACAAGAATTTCAATTACATATTCTCAAAAATGATAGAAGATACATATATAACAAATTTTGAAAGGATGGATTCAATGAAATTTTAAATATTCAGATAATTCAAAGATATCCAATTATTTATTTATTTGGAGAGTAGTAATACATTATTTCTAAAGCTTTAAATTGAAATTGTCTGTCATTTAAAAAATACGGTGTAAAAGCACTTTTTTATCATTCTAATTTGAATAGTTGCAGTTTCATTTTTTTCCCTAATTTGAATAGTTGCAGTTTCATTTTTTTTGCTAATTTGAATAGTTTCAGTTTCATTTTTTTCCCCCTAATTTGAATAGTTGCAGTTTCATTTTTTTTTTTTAAACATTACAGCCGCAATAGTGTTATGGAATTTAGCAGACTTAAAAAATAAATAAAAGCAAATGAAAAAGTAGAGATGATTAAATATCTGCAGTATGTTTTAATATTCCAAGCCAAGCTTCAATTCATTGCCCAAAACAGTATTTTCTTTGTTAAAGCAGCCACTATATAAATAATATTTGAAATCTGTACTTTAGTTTATGAAGTACAATGGTCACTTGGTTAATCTTTGGATTATGGTAACTTGGCGATTTTTTGGCGAAAATTTGGCGACACTCCTACGCACCTCTAGTTTTTGTTGGCGCCATTTTGTTTTTTATTTTTTAAAAAAGTTTTTTTTTATTCAACATTTTTTTCACCACCAATCTGGCTAGCCAATTACGCTATGCTAGACTTTATGGAACAAAAGTGCTTCATGACCAAAGTAGGTAGGAAAGTGGGAGAAAGGAGAAGAGGAAAGAAGAAGACAGAACCAGAGAGTGCAGAGAACCAAATGCTTACGCATTTTAAGCATTACACATACACGGAATCATGTACACGTTCCGACCTATTTACTTAAAAAAAACCCAGAATTGCAAAAAATGCATTGGCACACTCTGACTTATCCTGTACACTTCTACAGTCATAGCTAGTAACCTTACGCCTTACCAAATGTCGCAAAAAGTAACTGTACCATATCCAAAGAGTAGCCGGTCACTTTAATAAGGAATTATTCAGTATTTATATAGAATTTTTAATTCATACCTTTTGGCACTTTCTATCACATTTAGTCGTTCTTACGCAGATTAGTTTACAAATCAAGAAAATGTAGTCTGGGTGTTACACATTTTAAATAGTTTTTCTTTTGGTGTTATGATCTTTCGTTTATCCTTACCTTAAAAAAAAAAAAAAAAAAAAAAAAGAATAGATCTAAATAGTTTAGCTTTTTATGGAAATCTCTCAGAAGAGGTTTAAATGTTACCAGCTAGAATGTTTCGAAATATCAGAAATATCCTTATTTATTTCAAGTTATAAAATCAAACAATTATGTTGATGTAATAATCTTTCTTTATATTGGTATCAACTAGTAAAATGGTCATTATATAGAAGTTCAACAATAATCAATAGCAACTCTACCATTTGTAGAATTCTACAATTCTATTTGCATTAGGTTCACACTAGGGTTACTATTGATATATATAAAAAAATATTCGCCTCCACCCCAAAGTCTTATTATGGCTAAATTGCATTAATCTATGAGATAGGATCTTAAGGAAGAATATGCAAAATTTTACTGTTCACATTATTGATATTATCCATTAAACTTAATAAAATTCATCAGTATTGATTCGATTATGAGCTTGTCTTACATACTTAAAAAAGTAATATTTTCTCAAGGACATAGTTAACCCGTGTTTTGGAATTCTACATTCAACAATATAGTTTTAATTATTCTGATATTAATTGTTTGTAATCTGTAAATATTTTGTTCCTTCCCAGTAGTAAAATAATAAAAAGTATTTTTATATTTTTAAAATTTAGCTTGATCTGTGCTCACATAGAAAGTTATCCAAATGAAGTCCAGTAATCAAACCAACTCAAATGAAAGTACAGCATAAAGTCTGAAATCTGGAGGTCCAGTATCCAGAATGACCTAATATCTGGACCATCAGTTCAGTCAGTAAGTAAATATAAAAATAAAATTAAAGTAACCAAAAAAAGAAAAATCCCTTCTTCACTTTCATAATCTAAGAATAGAGAATATAATACTCAATGAAAGACAGCAAGTGTGCCATTAAGAGTGATTTTTCTCCTCACTGAGATTCCCGGACTGTCATGTATTTTACCAAGAGAAGGGAAGAAAGTTGCAAGAAAAGCTACAACAGAGGAAGGCTTACTATTTTCTCTACCACACATTATGTGATTTATAAATATTTCATTTCTTATGATAATTTTTAACATTATTTAATTAATTTTTCTCTTACAAAATACAGTACAAAGTCCGTTATCCGGACTCGTCGGGACTTCGGTGATTCCGGATTAAGAGTTTTTTCGGATTATAGATCCTCAATTTAAATCTGGTGAGATGGCATGCAGAAATTATACAGTTAAAAATATGAAACCTTAATTTATGAAATAAAGAGCAATTATGATCTAAGGTACAAAATTAGAAAAAAAAAGCGTAATATTTGTTTATTTTATTAACATTTCAATGCAGTATTTTAAGCTGCTTTTTTTTTTTTTTTTTTTTTTTTTGCTAAACGCACTGCGTAAAGCACAAAAAAAAAATTGTGGCTTTGAGGTCCAGATTATAGATCATTCTGGATAATGGATGCCCGGATTACAGACTTTGTACTGTAGTTTTAATTTTTTTCCCACCTGACTTCATAATTTCATCTCTTTTCAGGTACTGATTATTCAAGACTGGATATTTACAAATAAAATTCTCTACACAGCATGATTGCTTTTTGATAACTTAAAATGAAACCTCATATTTGTACAGTATGTAATAAAACATTTGCTCACGTTGGAAATCTACGGCAGCACAGGTTGACTCATACTGGAGAAAAGCCTCATATCTGTCCAATTTGTAAAAAAGCTTTCACGCACATAAGTAATCTTAGGCAGCATGTTTTAATTCACAGTGGAGAGAAACCTCATGTATGCAGTGATTGTGGCAAAGGATTTACACATGTGAGTAATTTACGACAGCATATACTTACACATACTGGCGAACGTCCTCATGCTTGTCATGAGTGTGGGAAAAGTTTTACTCATTTAAGCAACTTACGACAACACAGTCTTACTCACTCTGGACAAAGACCACATGTATGTGACTTTTGTAGTAAAAGATTTACTCATATAAGTAATCTAAGGCAACATATTCTCTCTCATCGCAGTGATAAAACACATCAGTGTATGATGTGTAAAGATCTATTTCCATCTCTTACTGATTTACAGAAACATTATACTCTTCATATGACAAGAAAAACTGAATCTGTAATTGATACAGTTAACAGTATAAGTAACACTGCTAATATAATTCATTTGTGACTGTGAAATGAAATAATTTTGAACTTTTACATTTTGTAATGATCTTTTGAAGATCTGAATTGTTGTCATTGCACTACGTGTTTATATAGAGCAATTACCAGAAGTAATTTAGCAAAGAAATTATAGATGAATGCTACTTTAAGAAATATGCAAACTTTTATTTGCATATTTTGTATTATATATAAGACAAAATTTATCTGTGAATTATTAATTACATGTAGTAGTAACTAGATCTGTATAAGTATTAATTACATTTTATATTTTAAAATAAAAATTAAATAAAAAAAATATAGTGAAATAAAGTATTGGGTATTCTAACCAGCAGACAATTTTAAATAAAAAATTTTTACGTGTGAAAAGATATGACAAATAAGTATGTCATTTTTTGTTAAGTAAAATTATGTATATAATTCCACTAAAATTGCAAGTGAATGAAGTTACAGCTGTGATCATTTACTAATTGAAACACTTTTTTTGTGTGTGTTGCCTAGCAAGAAGATAAAGGAAAAATTCATACATGTGTCATTCCATGTTTCACAAATTGTAATTTTCTCATAACTTTATTTTCTCTTCTGAACACAAAATAGTTTGAGAAAGTATTATATAATGAAAACGTTTGTAAATAATGATAATTGTATGATCAGATATATAATACTGCAATGTATGTACAGAAAAGAACAAATATTATTATTTCACTATTTAAAGTTAGAAAGTGATACTTGTATCTAAAATTAAAATATGTAATTGTCAAAATTGCAATAACAACCTTGTATTTCGCGTACATTTATCAAAACACTCAATCGATTTCGAGGGCAGCTACAGGTCCTTTCTAGTAGTTTCATTCTCCTGATGAGGTGCGACCTGTAGCTGCCCTCAAAATCGATTGTTTTAATAAATGTATGTGAAATACAAGGTTGTTATTGCGATTTTGATTGTAACATTGGTGTGTTTCTCTTTTATTCTATATGTAATTTTACTTAAGGTGCAAATTAAGAGGAATGGGGAATTAAATATATATATTTAATATTTTATCAAATATTAATTATGTATAATAATTACATAATTTATATGCCATTTCAATGTATAAAGCATACATTTGATAATAACTACATACTACAAGAACCATGTTTCTTTGGAAAAGTCATCAACAAGTTTGTAAATGCTCTCCAAAGCAACCTACAAGTTAGTGGCTTTTTAGTGGGGATGCAAATAATCAGAAAGGATACAATAAAGAGTGTGAATGCCCACAAAGATGTGATCGTTTACAAATCATTTTATCAAGAACCTCACAAATAAAATAATTCAATTTTAGAAGCATGAAACAGAGAGTGAATAAATAAAGCAAAGCATGCATTCACATGTACATCACTAATGCATGGAGCTGTGATGCAATTCAAACCCAAAAGGAGAGTAATAGGTACTCTTCTGTTATTAAGACCATATTCAGAAATGTATGTATGGATGCATGTGTATATATATATATATAAAGTAGAAGTCCAGAAATCCACAATGCTTGCGACTAGAGATTGTGGATTTCAGGGTTTTGCAGATTTCGGGAAGGAAAGATAAATCATAATATTCAGACTAAAAGTGCAAAACAAATAAGGCATATTAGATATATTTAATTAAATTATTATATGCATTAATATATATATATTATAGTATTCATTTACATTAGTGATTACAGGTATATTTAATAGCATTAAGAACATAAAAATAAGGGACATTAATAAAGCATAAAATATATAATTTTGTTTTACATGTTTCAAACATTTTTCTGGTAAATGAAAATGATATTATGATTTATCTTTCCTGTCCTGAAATCCACACAACTTTTAGTCCCAAGTATCGTGAATTTCTGGACTTCTACTTTATATATATGCATCCATCCATACATTTCTGAATACGGTCCTAATAACAGAAGAGTACTTATTACTCTCCTTTTGGATTTGAATTGCATCACAGCTTCATGCAATAGTGATGTACATGTGAATGCATGCTCTGATTTATTTATTCACTCTCTGTTTCATACTTCTAAAATGAATTATTTTATTTGTGAGGTTCTTGATAAAATGGTTCATAAATGATCACATCTTTGTGGGCATTCACACTCTTTATTGTATCCTTTCTGATTATTTGCATCCCCACTAAAAAGCCACTAACTTGTTGGTGGCTTTGAAGAGCATTTACAAACTTGTTTATGACTTTTCCAAAGAAACATGGTTTTTGTAGTATGTAGAGGTTTGTTTTAAAACTTTAGGGTGCTCCAGAGTAAGTTTTTTGTAAATTTTATAGAGTCATAATCTCTTGCTCTGTGACTTAGGTTTTAAAAATTACAGGTATTTTTCACCATGCTTCAAACACTCATTAAAAGATATTTTCTCACTCCTATCAAATTTACAATCTGTGTTGGTGTCGGAATCATTTTCTTTTTGTGATGAGTTTAAAACAGAGCCAATGATTTCATCATCAGTCATCTGATTGGCTCTTTTGAACTCATCAGACGCTCAACGATATCTTCTTCTTGCAAAGCCTCCTCATTTATTCTTTCTTTTGAATATTAAAGCAATTCTCATGCTTTAACCCTTGCTGCACTGACCCTAAAACCAGAAAATTTACTGTCATCACTCTCAGTTTCAATAAACAGAGAAGATGGGAAACGGAATTCCATAATTTTACTAACAAATAAATGCAGTCTTTGATGGTGAATTCTTTTTTTTAATCACAAAGTGAAATAGAATGGTCACCTGAAAGAATTTTTTTCAGAAACTCTGATTTATTTTTTACCTCGATACAGATTGGAGGGGGGAACTTTTACCAGTATGTCAATAATTTGGTATTTCCATTATGAGTCATTATTATTCGGTAGGTATTTTTTCTTCGATATTTCGTTTGCCATGCTGTGGTTTCCGGAACCTATAAATTGAATGTTTATATTTTAAGAGGCAACGTGGATTTCAGTTAGGTGGATTTTAGGTAGTTAACTGTTGGAATCCAGTCCCAATAACAGAAGTATACCAAGTAATATAAGTACTACAAGGAAAAAACACAGTAGAAAGAAAGGGAGAAATGATCAGAAAATTTTTTGAAGAATAAAAGAAGGCATGCGTAGGCACCTAACTTTGTTTAGATGAAATGTTTTGATGTATTTTTATTAAATAAATAATATTTGAATTTTTAATAAATTCATATTTAAATAAATTTTTATTAATAAATGTTTTGATGTATTTTTATTAAATAAATACATCAAAACATTTATTCTAAACAAAGTTAGGTGCCTACGCATGCATACATACACCTATTTCTGAATCCAGTTCCGATAACAGAAATGTACCCAAAATTATATACTATTGAATTACTTTCAAAATAACTTTTAAATTAAACTAAAAATTAATTAAATATACTGTTTTCCAAAGGTTCCCCGATAAAAGGCCAGTGGACGAAAGCCCACAAAAATAACTCCACTGTGAAAATTGCCCACGCAACAAATACGCACATAGATAAAAGTACCCCCACTGATAAAAGCTTACATGAATAAAATGACAGATGGCTTTTATTTAAGTTTATGATTGCAATTGGAATAAATGAAGTATTTGAATCTGATTTTTGATGTCTCAAAAATATGTCTCTTTTTAATATTTTATTAAGTTGAAAATGAGCTTTTTTCCTTTCTGCTTAAGTGGTTAGCTATATATTTTGATGATAAATTCAAAAATTTTATTTTATTATCTTCATCTATTTATTTTTGTGTGAAAATGAAAAATATTGTGAAGTTTCTTAAAAGCTATTTTTAATGTCATATGGATAAGACTAATTATGCATTAGTTCAATATGAAAAAAAAATGGGAGGGATGTTATTTAATCAAAGAACATAATAAATTATTTTTATAGTTTTAATGGAGTTTTTTTAAGTCTCTTAGTTCTTGAATAACAATATAAAACAAGAATTTTGTTACATTAACTAAAAGAAGCATTCCCTTTATTTTTATTAATTTAAAGTCAAGTTGGAAGCCTGTATAAAAATGTATGAAAGTAATTAAGCTTTATTCGCAAAAATTCTTTTACTTTAAAGAGAAATAAAGATGGATTATAAGCTTATGTGAAAGTATCATTTACTATTGTACATCCAGCACACAGCACTTGGTCTTTGAATTATTATGCCGAAAGAGATAGTTTCCAAGAAACTAAGGTTGCACAAAATTATTTTCTCATTTCCTGGGGCTAAATTTGTTTATAGTACAACTAATGTTTACCAGCTTACACTTCAGTGTTAATGATCATTCCGGTTTCATTGGAAACTCACAACTAATAATGTTTACCATTTTTGTTCCCACATTTCATATATGACCAGTGTTAGGAAATTAGTTGAAAATATTAGCTTTTATAGCCAGCACTGGATTTCTTTCTAGGATTTCTATAATTTGAGGTAAGTCACTAATGCATTTTTGCAAATACATGTATGCATTTAAGGTAAGCAATAAAGGTAAACCTTTATTGAAATAGCTGTTTTTTAAGTAAAGCAATTTAAAAAACGGGGCAATGTTTTTAAAATAAAATTATCCTCAAAGTGCAAAATATATCTCATCTAAACAGTTTTTCAGCTTTGATTTAGTAAATGATTCCGAGATTAGTTATAACTGAAAATAATTTACTTAAGAAACTTTGAAGCATTACAATATTGTAATAATTCTAAAAAAGAAGCAAAACTTCCTGAGATTTAATTAGTATTACATAACACAAATAATTTTTTAATTACTAGTCAAGTACAAATTCCATATTTATAATGAGTACTCAAGCAGTAATAAGTATATTAATGTTTGAAGCATTAAAAATCATTAATTTAAAATTTCCAGTACTTTTGTAATAAATATATGAATAACAGTGTGCTTTAAACTTTAAGAAGTGTTAGAACTGCTTATAATTCAATGTTATATGCAATCTGAAATTACAGTTACCATAACAGACCCATGAGTTCAATCCAAATACAGTTGAGTGCCACA